TCCACAAGTATATGAGTTTTCTTGTGACTCCAAGACAACATAGATGCATATAATCCAAGGGAAACATTGTTATCATCTTAACCATACCAGCTAAAGGAGACAATGTTTGATTCAAGTGGTGGTCTTCATCAATCATCAACTGAAAATCTGCATCTGTTCTAAGCTTTGCATTAATTTCTGGGTACGTCATTTTGTTCTTCCATTCACCTACTTGAACACATTTATCACAACCAGAATAACCATTATGAGCCTTTATGTTTTTAATGAAAGCTCTTGCAGGTGCATCACACACAAATGAACATACTTTAACTGTTATCTGGAAGCTATTGTAAATAATGCCATACTTCAAAATGTGCCTGAGGTCCTTCACAAATGGGTCCAAGAACTGAACTACACTTTTTGGCTTACCAAGACCACAGTAGAGACCAACAAGGAATGGTGATTTTGTGTAGTCAACATTTGCAATTGCAAGAATTGGCCAGAACTGAAGTTTACTGCTTTTGAAAAGGGGTAAACCATCTATATTAAACTGCAATTTTAAGTCGTTCAACTTGGCAGGCAAGATCAAGGATTTTAGTCGAGAGACCAACCCTTTAGCCAAACCAAAATGATGGTCTTCCCCACCATCCATTTTTATTGTGTTTATTTGACCTTGCGTTCTGAGAACTGTCCTGGCATCTTTTGGTAGGTCTGGGTGAAACACACGCAAAATTCCCAAGAGTGCTATTACTGCCACCAATGAGACTGAAAATGTAGAAGCCCAGTATCTTAAACTTCTTATTAAGAATTCAGTATTTGGCACTTCTTCATCAGCTTCAGCATTACTATTATCAGAATCAAACAGTGGTGCATGGCAACCAAAGCTGTCAAAACTAAAGTCACAGTCATTATCCTTGTCGGGTGATACATAGGTCTCACATACTTCTGAAATCTGCTCATAGTGACTGGTAAATACTTGACTGTCTATACCTGGGTGACAACAGTGGGACACACCAGACTCCTCTGCAACCTGCGGTCGCTTAACTTCAACTTGTGCATTGCCGTTTTGGTTATGTTTTTCAGCAACCATCTCTTTGAAGTGCCTGAGTATATCTGACTCTGCTGCCTCAACCATTTTCCGTAATTTGCGCCTCCTTGACCAGCGTGATGTCATTGTCAGTGTATATCAGATTAAACAAATCGTGCTATATTTGGAAATAGCCAAATAAGCAAATTGTTTAACAATAGGAATTTATTTAAGGACGTGAGTTTCTTACTTATTGATGGGTGGATGGTAGTTACCAAAGCAGATCTGAAAAAAAGAGGAAAAATAGGGAACAATGTCAATAAAGAGGGAAAACTAGATACAAAGACGGCTCATAGAAGCTGAACCGAGTCCTATGTGTGAAGGGACAGTAACTGTGTGTGTATATGTAAGCATTTAAACACTGAAGATAATAAAATTAACAGTGTTTTGTGAAAAGTCTGCCATTGTAGGAATTCATGGCACCGAGACAAAAACGTGGTGCACAGTGTGGCGTCAAAATAGGTGCACACCTTTGACGCTGCGTTTTCTCCATTTTCCTCGTCCACACGTAAATGCTAAAACTGAGTTTTCAAAAATATCCACCCTGGCAGGTGTCTTTGAAAATCTCAGTTTTCAGTTAACGAAAACGCAGTTTACGTGTGGACAAAAGGTGCAAACGCAAGGTAGGTGAGGGTGCAACGTAAAGTTTGAATTGAGTGCGAATTGAAGTGGGTGCTCTCCAATCATTAAAAGTAACAAAGTCATTGAACACATTTATACAGTTACCTTTACATTTATCAATCATATATCACAGATTTACAATTTTCTGTAGTACTATGCTAAAAGGCAACTACAGAGCAAAAGTCTGGGTCAAGCGCCGAGGCGACAGCAAGAACAAAGGAACCCTCGAAGCGTTAAAGCTAGCTTTGTAAGGGAATATAACAGAAAAGTATGAAACGAAAATGTTTTCTTTGTTGATAGACTTTGTTCGCAGTGCAATTTATTTGTTGCCGGATTGTAAGATGAAAGTAGACACAATTTTGGGCTCCCACATTTTGTCCGAAAGTGTACATTAACGAGTTTTTTTTTACTGTTATTCAAATGCAACCGTGGAAATAACGAATAGAACAAAATTCATTCATTCTTACCTTATACTAATCGTGGTGCAGGCCAGTGCAGTGCATGAACTGATGCCTTCTCTGGTCAATTCCGCTGACAGTAAATCTAATGTCCCTCTCTACTGTACAAGACAGTGGTTACCTGGAGGGATGCACCACTGTGAGAGGGGCGCTGCGGAATAGTCCAAGTGATCGCTGCTTTAATTTCCCGGTCAACTATACATAAATTGCATGTCAACACGATTTTTTAAAGCTGGTGAACTAGACCAGAAATCATTGATAACAAAAGAACAATAAATCTACTTTCTCCGGTACTTTATACCCACTCAGT